ATGGACCCAACAAGTCGTCATTCGATGGACGTGTCATCTGATAAAGTTGAGGTGGAAGTCCTGTGGTACCTTAAGGCACTGTCTTGCCCTCGCTATCTTTTCGTACTCCACATTAATGACCTTCTGACGCCGTCGTATCTCAAGTGAGGGCTATTCGCGCGACGGGACTGGCCTGATCTAGCAGAGAGATAGATCGATCGCTGACGAGATGAGAGCTCCGCGGACCTAGGAACGCCTTCCACGACTGGGCCATCAACTTGAGGCATGCGATTCAGCAAGCAAAGAAGTGTAACATACCTCCGAACTGCCATCGACGAGCTGGTACTCCATTTTTCCTTCTTCTTACGAGTTGGATAAGCATATCTTAGAGGGAGCTGACCACACTAAATACCTGATCGGCCTGAACTTCTCCTTCAACCTAAAATTAGGAACGACCAACATCAGTGGCGATTTGGCAAAGCCAACAGCACGCCTGCGTTTTTCTACGGGCGAAACTTGAAATTTGTCGCAAAAAGCACTGCAAGAAGTTTCATATAAGTCATTAGTTCGGTCAATAAATTAAGAATTTGCATCTATTGTTTGGGATCGGCGTTTTCTTGGTCAAAAACATTGATAAGTTGGAAAAAGTTTAGGAGAAGGGCAGCCCAGGTTCGTTATGTAGACGGCTGACCGGTGTGACAGTTAGCGGTTACTCGATAATGCTACGGAACTCTGAATTGGCCTTCCTCATTGCTTCAGGCGGCGGAGCGATCCAACGCATTAGCATTCCATGAAGAAGATAATGTTCTTCATCAGTGGCGGTACGAGCAGCTCAGTATTAGCCAAACCTGGACCCCCTAGCGAACACGCAGTAAGAACAGTCATAAAAACTTCAGACAGTGTGGCGAGTCAACACCGACGAGTTTCGCATTCTTCTATTGCCGAGAACTATTTCAACAAGGTGGGAACCAGGGTTACTGAGTGCGATGATAGATGCTTATCTGTTCCACTGCCGGCTGACGACAGACATCTAAGCCGCAACACGCTCCTGCGTTATTATCCACGTAACGTGGGCTAGCGCAGAAAACATCCAGATCCAGAACGCCAACCGACTATCCCTCCCCGGTGGCCCCGCCGGCCATGCTTGGATCGGAGCGCGCTTCCGTGTAATTGATCACAGTGGTCGCCCCACGCGAGATTCGGCGCAGAGAAGGCGCAGAGTGGAAAATTTCATCAAGGCGCGCTATCGCTGTTGATGTCGTCTGCTTGCATTATAGCCTGGTCGTATGCACTGCTGCGTGAACATAATTACATTTGAGACGCATCCGTAATGTATTACATGGCGGTGAAAAAAAATGCTAGCCCGGCGCGATTATGCGATGGGCGCGTCTGGCCACGAAATGCAATCGGCCCAAATTCGCGCATTAATGCAAACTCTGCCACGATTACACTCAGCATATTAAAGTAGTAATTTCGTTATCGATTATAGCCAGAAGATCAATAGACTAAATCTGTCAACGAGACAGGTCGCGGGCGAACAGGTCTGTCGGCGTGACTTTGGAAATAACTTTCCCGGACGGGCGTAGATTGGAAGCACTTAAGTGTTTAAGATTAACGTAAGATTAGTTTAGTGTTAAGATTAGTGTTTGAGTATCCAGTGGGTTAGGGTTAGGGTAGGGTTAGGGAAATAAGGGTATAATAATATAATAATAAATAATATAGGGAAATGATTTATAAAGCGTTTTGGCAGTGACGTCATAAGACGTGATCACGTGCCATCATCTACGCCCCGGGGAAAGTGACACACAGCACCCGATCATCTTAAACGTTATGAGATAAGGAAACGTTCGCGACATCTTAGCAAACATTGTGAGAGGAAGTATGCCTAGTGATATGCCTTACCCGCAGCGCTGAAATGCACGCGGTGCTTACCCGAACACTAATATATTATAAGCTTCACAAAATGAGGCGAAATCAGCGAGCATCCCAAATGAAAGTTTTGCCATTACGGATAATCATGCAGTGGCATTTACAGTTAGACGTATAGGCTTGCCAAACGCGGTCAAGTGGGGCACATATATGTGCTAATCTTTTATTCATTATCCTTGATTTAACGAGTACACGACGTGTATAAGCTAATTCCCAACCGTCGTCTGTGTAGCATACGTACACTGCCGGCGCTCAATAGAATCACGTGCCTAAAACAAATAAAAAATTATTAAAGATAACAGAAAAAGAAAAAGATACAAATAAAAGAATAACAGACAAAAAACAAAAAAAAAAAGCATGCCGACACTGATTCACAGTTATGAATATCTTAGGAAAATGTTATTACACGCATCATGTACCTTGCTCAACTAACTATTTCTACGAACCGATATCACCGACAGCAGGCTATAGATAATAATGATAAATAATAATAATAATGATTCGCGACACGGCGCTAGTCAACTAAGTGATATATCTGCCTGCTGGTCATATGGACGTCATACTGGAAGACTAGGCTATATTTAATGGTAGGTTCGTGTACTAGCTAGGTACTTGAACTAGCGTTGACAGTTCTATGAACTGAATTTGCAGTAAATTAACCTAGCTGTTCTGTAACGGCGTCTGGCACCATGAACATCACATCCGCATTTCATAAGATGAAATCAAAATTCATTGGAATTCATGCGATCCCATGGTAATCATACGAATACAGACAATAGCCTCCGTATTGATCGCAGGAATTTTCACCTGCCACAATATGGGATTTAGTATAGGTAGATTCAGCACCATGCCTAATATACATTTATATTTCGGGTATCATAATAAAAACTAGTTCCTATATAATTGTCATTGACGTTGCGCGTCGAATAGTTATAAACGTCGACAGAAAGGTCGTATGTCGTGTTGGCGCCGGATGCAACATCTAGCGCGACCTGCTCATGCGGCGTTCACATCAAATTCAACGGTTGCGTTACTTTGCATGAAGAAGGGCGGACAATCAAGCGTGTCGCTGACGATTGCATCAAGCCAGAACAAGCTCGGATGAATCCCGATTATTCTGCTCAAACACAATCATTGCAGGCCTTTAAATTACGCGCAGTCAACAGGAATCAGCCGAGCTAGCTATATAGATATACGGTAGCAGCTATTAGATGCAGTGGTACCTAAGCCCACATTGAAAAGGTGAACTTGCAGCGCTGCTCTCCGCCCCACCCTCCCAACCCGCCGTTATATACTTATTATATTTTAACTTGTGAATGTGTATATTGTACTTCATACGCTAACGTTATATGCATTCTAGGATAGCATCGAACGTACTACCCCAAATCACTCTCGCGCTTGCGTATAATTATGTCGATAACGATATTCTGCAGGCTCTGTCGCCGACGTAATAAAGTATCTGTGAGTTATTATAGCCGATATATCCGCCATGTTTCTAATGCGCACTAGCACGTAAACAAACACTACGCTGTAGACGGCCGCATATTATATATATTATATATATAGGTAGCAAGCTATAGATAGTGGTACCAAGAGTACTCTGTTATGTACTCGTGTGGTACTAAGGCCGCACATTGAAACGTGTAACGCTTTGGCAGCGCTGCTCTTCCCCCCCGCCCGCCACCCAACCCGCCGGTACAGAGAGCGAGAGTTTGAGAGACTGAGGAAGGCGGCAGGAAAGATAGCGCGAGGGGCGGTATTAAAGGAAGAGGCTGAGCGAGAGAAACGGTGGCAAGGGGAGAGCTAGGACGGGGCAGCAGAACGCGTGTCACTACAAGAAATAACGAAATGAACGAAATATGTCAATGATAAATTAAACATGAGTCAAGAACAATCATTATAGTCGTACATGTCAACAATTAGCATTGTTGGATTTATACCTGGCAGCGCGAGAATTGAAAGAGTACATCAAACGTGACACGAACGCATGTAGCTTTTAACAGGCAACTTTTATGTTTGTTCCAATCAAACTAACTGCGCTGGGCACAGTTATAATTTATATAGCTGGCTAGGCACGCGCAGGTGGCAGAGCGAGAAATAGCTGCAGCCTATTGGCAAACACACGTTCTACTCAAGATGTATCGTTGCTCATCCGAGGAACACTGTCTGCCAGCGTACTGCTCGTCTACGCTATACCTGGCGTCAGCAGTGTTCGCCTGATCACGCACCAACCACCATCGTGCTTCTCCAGCCTGTCTAATCCCTCTGCTAGTACACCTCCAAGATGAAGCTGCGAGCAGGAAGTGACAACCTTCAAACCTTCAACGCGGTATCGATCAACTGAATGGTGCGCACAGTAAAAGTTGGATTCTACAATCATTTTCGTCGGAACGAACTCAGTGGCTATGTTTTCGAAAGCATTGCTAAGCGGATTTGAGTAGGTATGTTTAGATTTCACGTACACCGCATTCGCGGGACCGGAGACAGCGATACAAGAGAATTGTCAGGCGGTAAGAGTGGATTACTCGACTGGT